AGTAGTAGTAGTAGTAGTAGTAGTAGTAGTAGTAGTAGTAGTAGTAGTAGTAGTAGTAGTAGTAGTAGTAGTAGTAGTAGCAGCAGCAGTAGTATTGTTGAGTCAATCATCCTTCTTGGGGTATATTAACTGGTTAGTTACGAAGTCAGTCGGCGGTCAGATTTGTATTGGCCCACACGTAATTATGATAATTATATTTTGATACGTAAAGAAATACTTCTCCTCATCATCATCATTGTTGTTATTATTGTTATTATCAACAATATTAAGTTTATTATTATTAGGATATTTATTGTTATTGTTATTTCATAATTTCCCAACAGGCAACAGCTGGGGAACCGACCCTGACGGCAAACAGTGTATCGGATGCGGCCCTCAAGAAGAATTTTACGGCTGTTCTGACGTGAAGATTGTCGCAAGCGGAGGGCGGGACAACCAAGGAGGGTCCAGCACCGGAAGTCCAAGCACTCAAGGAGCCGGCAGTACCGGAAATCCGAATACTCAGAGAACCAGTAGTATCGGAAATCCGAATACTCAGGGAGCCAGTAGTACCGGAAATCCGAACACTCAGGGAACCAGTAGTACCGGAAATCCGAATACTCAGGGAACCAGTAGTACCAGAAATCCGATTCCCGAAACGAGCCCGACCCCCCAAAGCAGCAGCTCCTCCCCGACCGGAAGTTCCAGGAGTGAGACAACAGCAACAGGCGGTGGCGTCACCGGGGGCGGGGCGGTTCAGTACCTGGCTCTGGACGGCACCGTCGCCATGGACGCCTGGTGCCAGTACAACTGCCCCCTGGACTTCTGCCCGGACTGGCTGTGTTACCGCGCGGCTGGAGCCCGGAACACGCCTGCCCCGGCCTCGGGATGTCGGGCTATAGGACCGTACGCCAACTCTCAGGACATGCAGGATTGGTGCGTGAATAACTGTGCCCTTGATAACTGTCCGCCGAACATGTGTGCCTGTAACTGAGTTTGTGTGTGTGTGTGTGTGTGTGTGTGTTGTTTTGTTGTTGTTTTTTTTTTGGGGGGGGGGAGGCGTACGCCAGCTCTCAGGACATGCACGACTTGTGCGTCAATAACTGTGCCCTTTATAACTGCCCACCTAACATGTGTGCCTGCCACTGAGGAGTGGGGAGTAACATCATGAGGGGGGGGGGGGGGGTGTGATGAGTGGGTGAGGGGGGTATGATGAGTTTTTTTTAAAGTAGCCAAAAGAGAGAAGATAAGAGTCTTGTTGGGTAGGATCAGTCACCAAATATTGATAAACACTTTCCCCTATTGAAAGTACAAAGTTTTCGGAAAGTCTACTTGACCCCCCCCCCCCTTCCCCTCCAATCCCTCAAAATATTCAATATGTACAATAGCAAAAATGCGTGTTTTGTGCATGACTTCACTGTGACCAACATATTGTTACGGTCTTGAGTGAAAGTCTCGGATGGGAGAGGATTTAAAAAAATAGATAATAAAAGCTGGTGTGAAAACCGTGGGAAAAAAGAAAGACATATTCGCAACAGTATTACAATAAGCGTTTAATCAAATAGCACGAATTATGGTTCGCAATGGTCGATTGATTGACTGAAGGATTGATTGATTGATGGATTGATTGATTGATTGGTTGATTGATTGAGCGAGTTAGTAAGCGAGTGAGTGAGCGAACGAGTGAGTAAGTGAGTGAGTGAGTGAGTGAGTGAGTGAGTGAGTGAGTGAGTGAGTGAGTGAGTGAGCGAGCGAGTGAGTGGGTGAATGAGGGAGTGGCGAACTACAGTGAAATGTTTGATCCGGTGACCCAAGTCAAAATATTTCTTTTTTGTTCTCCGCTCACTTCTCGAAATTATTTTACAAGTAAGTCTGCGTCGTACCGGAGAGGCTGAATATAATGATGATGATGATGATGATGATGATGATGATGATGATGATGATGATGATGATGAATGTGAGACACCAGCAATGACGATAAAAGTGATAACGAAAGTTTAATAATATACATGATTGATGTAAATGTTCTTTACATGAGGGTGCGGTGGCGGAGCGGTAAGTGCGCTAGTCTCCGAAGAGGAAAGTCCGGGTTCGAGCCTCGGTTCGGACACGGTTTTTTTTCGCCCCCTCCCACCTGCCCACCCAGCAGCAATGGGTACCTGACTTCGAGTTAGGGAAGTAAAGGCGGCGTGGACAGGAACTGGCCACCCTACCACAATATGCCGAAGGCCCAGGAAGTTGTCTCACTAACAAGGCAATCCCCAATGTCCGGATCGGACGCGGGAACAAATTTTAAATTTTTTTAACTTTACATGAGCAAGTCATGGTGGTTTTTCTGTTGTGCACATGTCGTGCTACATTTTTACGAACAATAATTATTGCTTTATTGTTATATTATTGCATGTTTAATGCCGTGTTTAATATACATGTACTTGAGATTGTCAGAATTGTTCGTAGTTGATGATGATGGAGAGGATGATGATGTTGATGCTGTTATTTTTCCATGTTCCTGATGAAGCCTGAACGTTGAATAATTTTACAACTGGATTTTTTTGCTCTCGAATTATCTACCGGTATGCTTCACTGTTTGCTCTGCGAGTTTTTATATATAAATAATACTTATATTTATATGCTGATTTTTTACAATGATAAAGACAGCGACAACGATTTTGATGAAGTTGATGATAACGATGGCGTTGATGATGATAATGGTGTTGATGATAATGATGGTGTCGATGAAAAACAAATATTATGATCGTGATAATAACGACAACGAGTTTTTAACGAGAACGACTAATTATTTATGATTATTGTAAGGGAAAAAACTCTCAACAGGTGTGAAATATTGAACCGATCAGATTGCTCGCCCTTTGAATGACAGAAGTTTTACTTCACTTTTCACGAAAACTGAGTTCCACACAACATTCTAAACACTACACACGACACACTACACACGACACACTACACATTGCTAGCACAGATGTCCTGCATCATGCTGTGTCAAAGGCTCGAGACAGTCAGACTTGTCTTTTTGACAGTTTGACACTTCGTTACCGAAGAGTTATAAAGTTTGATCTGACATTAGTTTTTGGCCGTTTTGAGTTACTCAGACCATGAGGTCAGAAACCAAACGTCCTATCCACTCTATAAAAATCGTAAGGTTATTCGGAGTCGTTATCAAGATATTCAAAGAACTGTAGTTGGTTGTTTTTTTTTTTGGGGGGGGGTAGCAAGAGTTTTACGGCACTTGCCACACAATAAGGTCATATAAGTGCTGAAGATCAGGGGTGTTACAAGAGAGTAACAAACATACAAAAGAAGGAGGAGAGATAAGGACGATAGTTGCTTTTTTATAGGAAAGAAGGAGCAAACCACACCAGAGCACCCGCCAACCAACCACCTGAGATTGCCGACTCAGTGCAATACCACGTCACAGCCTACTGTGTTGATTTGTTCAGGGTTTTATTCCCGCCTTGCCGAAAAACAATCATGATTTTTATTCTTGTATATAATATACAATTGAATGGAGAATTATCTTTACTGAATACATTTCTTGCCCATACCTATACTTATGAGATTTGTCTTATTTTATTTGATGTCTAAATTACCGTATTATGGTTGTAAGTCTATATGGGAGGGAGAGAGAGAGAGAAAGAGAGAGAGAGAGAGAGAGAGAGAGAGAGAGAGAGAGATGTATAATATTATTTTAAAAAACCCATCATACTGTTTCATAGACAACATTATACATGTACTCTATTATTATAAATGGCACCAAATATTTAAAACAAACAAACAAAACAAACTCACAAACACATTAATACATTATTCTAAACTAGGAGGTCACTAATTGCAGAAGGGTTTAGATTTTAAAAATACTGAGTTACTTTATTTGGAAAACACCGCAGTTTGCCAGGAACACGATCTCCTAGCCTGGACACTTGCACGCATAGCCCTAGCCAGTGTACTGAAACAGCTGACTTACTGACCCCCCCCCCCCCATGCTACCCACCCAGTGCAGTGCTACTGACTGAAGTGTCTTTAAGCCATTTCCAAAGGGGGGATGTTAACATGTTCTTATGCACAGTGGAATGGTAAATAGGCTGATTTACCAATGCCATGATCATACTGTGCCGGAACAACTTAGGGGGAACTGCTGCTTTTTCTTTCCTCATCCTTACTTTCGTCATTTTTCCTCTACTTCTTTAGTATGTTTGTCACTCTTTTGTGAACTGCTATTTCCGGGGTGCCTTGATAGTCGAAGCAGACTTTGTGCTGTTGAGGTTAGAGAGGTGAGCAGAGTAAGCCTGATTCCCCGTTTGGACTTCTCTGTTGACATCCACCCCTTGGCGCTCATATGACCTTATGCAGTTGCGAGCGCTGTAAAACCTTACTAAAACTAACTGATCTTTTGTTGCCGACATAGCCCTAGCCTGTATCCTGAGTTGACTCTCGTGACCTTCAGCAGAAAATCTTAACTAACTGAAACTTCCTTTTACCTGCCGAAGGACATAACTTTTGGCCAATGGGAATTTTCGCAACTATCCGAAGTAGCCAATCACGTTCCAGTTATCGGCAGTTGTTCGTTTCACTCATGTCAAGTTCTGGAGGGCAGATTAATACATCTGCTAGAAATGATTAACAGCGAAACGCAGTAGCAAACCCAGAAGGTATTCCCAAACCCCAGTACCAAACCCAAATCCCAATACCAAACCCAAACCCTGGGACTCAAGAGCAGGGCAGCCAGTTTGGGGCCAAATTGCTCAAATTTGGCTCTTTAGGATCATGACTGGTCCCCAAAAATAGTTGGCCCGGTTGGCCCTAATTTGGCCCATTTTAGATTTCACACACACAAAAAAAATAATAATAAATACATGAAATAAAATAAAAGCAACGAGATTTTTGCCACACACAAAAAAGCATTTATTATTCCCGAACGGTTGACACTGAAGGTTTCAAGAATTTCCTTTTTTGTTTTGGGCCGATCAAGACGGGGTGGGGGAACAGTTACTGGTGAATAGATCTTGTGGGTTGATCGAACGAAGCAGGGTTCAGGGACAGCGGCATACCAAGGGAAAGCATTCCATTTTGGGAAGGTGTCAAGAAGACGACTGGGTTTCATGTCCTTGCCAATTGTGCACTTAATTGCTTGATCATTCCATCCAGTGATAGAGAGAATTTTTCCCCTCGTCACCTCTACCAAAACCAAACCCAGGAACTGCATGGGAGAGAGCTGTCTAGACGCAATAGTCCGCATCAAGTCCCATCTACAAGTGCGAAGGAAGTGTTGCAACCACGACTTACTGAAATTATCAGGTCTCCTCAGCGGGATCGTAGTCTGAAAATGTGGAGGCGAGTTGAAAACGAGGTCACAGTAGCCTACGCGAGACAATAGGACGGCAGCGCAATCAGATCACCGAAAGGGAAATCAACTAAGACAGAACTTATCATACAACTACAAATATTATCATAATTTGTGGATTTATGATAACTAGATTGCTAGATCTAGACTCTAGTTCTAGTCTCATTTCTCGTTCTAGGTGCGGTAAAAGAGCTTCACTTCCAATAGGCAATTGGCACAGACAATAATGAGAGAAAGAAGAAGAAGAAAGATAGCATTTTATAGCACATATCCATGGAAAACACAATCCATGCTCTATGGGCTAAAAAAATATACTCATTCATTATGCAAGCATGGAATAATTTATAGGCCTAACAGTAGAAACATTGCCAAGTATGGGAGACACACACCTACATGTAAGCCTGTATACACACAGAGAGACATAGATAGACACATGCGTTCACAAACATAACAGTGTAAATATTATGAAAAAGGTTTAACTTACATTGTTTATGAAGACAGCTTCAGGACTTTCTGTTCAGTTTCTTTTTCAGATGGTGGATTGGATATCTTTCAGAAATTGTTTAGCAAAATGTTGCTCATGACAAAGCAGTTGTGCTGTCTCATCTCAAAACCACAATACTGTAAGATGTCCATAAATATTTCACTCAATAAAGAGTTTCTGCATACCTTGTCACACACTGGCTCCTACAAGTAACAAATGAACACAGTGAATCAAAAGAAACAATGTCTTTTTGTGAATATTCTTCTAACAGGTCACTTTCAACTGATCTTGCTAAGGGCACAGGTGTTGGGATTTTATTAAACTTTTGGGCAAATTAGAAAATAGCGATGGAGGATTTTTTGGTCTTAGTCTTCCTTTGACTGAAATAGTTTTAAATCCATCTGGAAAAAGTTTAATACACACAACAGTATTTGCAGTATTGTCGCGTGGGATTGCTTTCATCCAACGTTCTCTCTCATCTTTATCTTTAGACTTCAGGTAGATCTAGATCTATATCTAGATTATAATAGATCTAGATATAGATCTAGATCTAGATCCAGATCTAGATATCTAGTCTAAAAACGGGAACCTTGTCAGTAGAGTCATATTTTGACCTGCACCCAGTAACACACTTTCTGCCCATTTCCAACAAGTCTATATATAATGTACATTATT